AAATCTCTGTCAAGTCATAAGGACATTATTACACTTTTAGTTTTTAAATAACATTTGTTCTTACAACAAAACATAAAAACTGAAGTCAATGCTGCAATCCTTTTGCGTGATTCATTGGTTCAACGCTCTATTTATCTCAAGGTTTCTGAATCATAAGTTGTAATTATAATTGCAACATTTTTTTAAGATACATAGTTTCCCACATCATCCTTTTTGAAAAAAGCAAAATGATTTTTATGAAAAATCTCAAAAATTTTAATAAGTAAATCGGGTGCACTCTATCGAATATTTTAAACTTCCAGTTCCGATTAGAAATGGGCTACCATATCTAACGGAATATTGAATTTTTCAAAGGTATAATACATACCTTTTATTGGAAACTCGGATTACATATAAAAATTTTTTTTTTTTAATATTTCTTCTAAAAATTTACTTTAATTGATCTTAAAATATTCTTGAAAATAAATAAAAAAGTAAACTTTGTTATGAAAAATTTAACATCCGATTTAGAAACCTCATTTTCGATTAGAACCTGAAGTTAAAAATATTACTATTCGAGCGTACCCAATTTATTTATTAAAATTTTTGGGATTTGTCATTTTCCTTCATTTTAAAAGGGACGCACAAGTCTGGGACATCCTATATAGAGACATTGGTCTTTCAAATTTCAGTTTGAATAAAAAAATATTCATAGATAGAAACATGAGAATGTATCTCACTCACCTTTTCTGTATAGAACGATTTTGAGCCTTGGTATCTCCAGCATCGATCCTCTCGTCTGTAAATAAATTTGATTAAATAATATAATGATATAAACATTTAATAAACAGTACATAACACACTCTGCATAAAAAAGTATTAGTGACTCAATACGAAATTTCAGAGAGTAAGTATATTGGAATAATTTTGTTTAATTAAGAAACAGCAAATGTACCTATTTAAAAAAAACGGGTATTTATATTGTAAAAGAACAACTAATGTAAGTTGACTAAAAACTTTTATCTTGTTAAAGATAATGAATCTTTTGACCTTCCATAGCTGTTAACGTATATAAACTCAATAATTTGACAAGAAAAAATGCAAGTCCTAAATTTATACCACGGAATGCTAATTTTAAAATCTAAATGTTTTAAAAGTTACAAGATTAATAATAAAAAAAAACTATAATAACCGAATATTCTAAGAGACATTTATTATCAGACAATGTATTTATTTTCTGAGCTGATAAGACAAATTTTTATGTAAATAAGTAGATAGAATTCGTTTTCTTTGTTATCTGTTATCACAATCTAAGAGTTTTAAGACACGAAACAAGTTCGGTCGTTTACTCATATTGAGGTAAATGTTATCTTCAATTATTTAAATGCGCTAAACGATTTATATATATCTTGAACTACACTATCAGTCCTATTCTTGTCGCTGCATTGAACTGCAATCAGAGCTTTTCCAAAAAGACATATTGACACAGAAGTTATTCTGTCTTTGTTTGATACTTAATGAAAGAAAAAAAAACAAAATCTCCTATGTTAATACGTGCCTCTTGCATTCAAAAACTGTAACCACTTTATCCTTGTGGTTAAACTAGGATAAATTGATAATTGGGACCTAGATAAAATTTCTAAACGTAGCATTGAAAAGATTCCATTAGACCCGTTTTCATATAATATGAGATTACAATAAAATTCACATTTATGAATTCTTTTTTTATAGCTCTTAATCTTTAGCTAATTATATATTGTAAAAATGGGACTAAAACTTTCTATCTTACTTTCGTTAAATTTCAAATATGCATCTATTTTATTTTAAATATCAGTGTAGATTAGCTCAGCTGTACAAAAAATAAACTTATCATTGAAATGAATAGCTTTATCATAAAATTCTTCTATGAAATAGAATCTTATTTTATTTAAGAATATCTACCAATAGTAAAATAGAATCAATTTCTTTGCACTGTGTTAATGTATATTAAAAATTTATTAAAATTGGCTTTTAGCCCTTCAATCGTTCTATTTTGTTTTATTCTTATAGAGCCTTATTATTACCTTTTATTTTAAAAAAAACTTATATACAGAATTATTTAATAATAGTAGCACATTTTTAGCAATTTGTTTTACCCTATTATTTGTGAACGATCAACTACTTATAGTGTCTTTACAACACTTTGTACTTAGCGAGCATCATTTGTTTTCATTTAACATATGATAAACAAGAATGAAACGATTCCATACGCATTGCAACAATACATTGTTATATACTTGAAATGAAATAGACAAATATATTTGAAGTTTGGCGAAAGTGAGATAGAAAGTTTACTTTAGTCTATGAATGTTTAGATTCCTACCCTATTGCTGCTTAGGTATCACTTTATCCTTGCTCACCGAATAATAAACAAGGATAAAATAATATCTAGGAAGTACCTGGGTGAGAATGAATGCATTCCATTACAGTGACAGTCCTTATACATTACATAGTGCTTTATTTATTATATTAGGCTACATTTAGACATTTACAGATATCACTTGGACGCCCCCAACAGTATCATTTTATCCTTGTTTAACATTGAACAACAAGGATAAAATGATATATCAGGTGGTATTTTTACTATTTCTAAATATAACCTTGCTTTTAAACTTAAACAACAATGAAACTCTGTTTTAACATTGAGGGTGTAAGGTTACTTTTTCTCTTTTAGAAGAACCAAAGAAAAGTAGAGCTTTCTTTGTCCTCAAGAAAACAAATAAACCCTGTTCATTCAATTTAACATATGATATACCAAGCTCTGCCTTAGGTTCAGTTTTTCAGGTTAACTTGTAAGTAGGTTTAATAATAATGTAATAATTATATTCTTCTAACCGTAGTTAATCATCAAATTAATGATTTTTTAGTATGTAGTGACTTTTATTACATATTAGTTTACTGATTATTAATTATAACTAGAAAAACATCACAGCTAGCAAAATGGCACAATTTTTAAATTATCGTTAAGAGGTTAAGTCCAAATCACAAGTTAATTAGATAATAAAAAACCGGGTCCATAGTAGATTGAAAAACTATCTGGGGGAACAATGATAAGAAGAGATTACTTATGAAATACATGCGGCTCAAAACGTACCATCATCTGTATCTATGGGGTCACTGTCTGAATCTATGGTTTGACACTCCACTGATTCCACTCTCCTCACCATCTCCATTCTCTTTTATAACTAAACGCAGCTCGAATACGTTAAAGCGAATCATGCCAATCTACCGACCATCCCCTTCAGCATTTCCACGCGCACATCGACAAGAACTTGCGTGCGACGTGTAAGAAAGTACACAACGCGGACAGGTGTTATTCGGTCCACTGTTCGCTGCAGAGATTACTCGCGTGAGGTTTCTAACCTAAACGTCACTACACAGAGGAGCCTCTTCGGAAGCGGAACGAGCGCGTCACACGCTGAGCGTGAGGATGACGACTATTTCGTATCGACGATGCAAGAGCAGAGCGTTGGTTAAATTCGCGTGGATCAATCGGCCGCGCGAATAAAAAAAACGATGACGCGACGAGCGGAGATACGAGCGAACAAGGTAGAACGAGGCGACAGCTCCAGACGCGCGAGGTGACGAGTGACGCGGACACGACCCGATACGACACGCGCATGTCGACGCGACGTGCGCATAAGAAGTGCACACGCGCGCAAGAAGAGTGCACACGTGACACAACGATGCAAGCTTCCCAGCAATCTCAGCATTCCCAGCTGATTGTTTGACAAGCAAACTTTGACAGGTCAGACAGCTGACCGCGGCTGTTAAAGGGTTGTCCTCGGATTACTCGTTGGTTAAAAAGAAAAAAAAATGGGAAGAATAACATAATACGGAAGTAATAAATACATAAATTAGTTAACGTGCGGGTAATTATACAGAATTGTATAGCTACTTCAGTTTAAAAATCGATGAAATAAATTACGCTTATTCGACGCGTTTTTGCATGAAACGAAAGAATCTGGTAGAAAAAAAGTGTCGCTCTGCCCTACGAACCGAGATATTTAGGCAGGGCCAATAATCAACGAAGAAGAAGATGAAGCTTATAATTTCATCGATTTTTGAGCTGAGGTAGCTATTCTTTATAATTACCAAAATGTGCGAAATATGGAAGATTGTATTAAAAAATAGGAATAAATATTAATTAAGAATAGAAATATTATTAAACATAAACATGGAAACTATGGAAATAAGATATTTTATATGTCTAATTTATTATATTTGTGGTTATATATGTTTGTTTATTTATTGTATATTATGTTAATTTAATCTTCTTCTAATTTTTTTTTATTCTTTTACTAATTTATATATTTATTTTCTTGTTCCTAATTTTTTTTTTATTGTACCTATATATTCTACGGCTTGGAAGCCGATTTTTTATTAAAAAAGAAAAACAAATTTTGTACATGTTTTAATTTCATGCTTTTACAGATCTGAATTTTTTTTGTAAAATAAATACAATGATTTCAAATTTGTTTGGAACCAAATTATTTTGGTATTATGAAAATTTGATCATTATTTTTTCGAATTTAGAGAATTGTTCGTTTACACCAATATCGAGATTATTACTATTTCTATTTCTATTACTATTACTATATATTTCTCTTTTTTCTTTCATATATCTTTCGCGAGCAAGTCAGCGTTATTTATCAATTATCAAAATGAAAGATCGAACGTTTTTTTACAAAAATAAATATTCACCTGCATTTATCGACATATATTAAAGTAAAAGAAAAAGAGAGACATGGTGGAATAAGCATATATCTATATATATATATGTGTTGAGAGAGAGAGAGAGAGAGTTTTTTCACATCCTTACACGTCGTCACGTCTTCGCATGTTAGTGAGGTTAGTTTAGTTCTCACACGATAGTTATGATTGTGATATTGTGTGAGGTTAATTTCTGTTCGTGTAAGGCTTGTAAGGGACCATCCACTTGAGGACCGCCACAAATTTACATTAAGTACACGTCGGCAAGTTCGACAGACGGTACCACGTGTAGATTTGCAAGTGGTCGTGAACATGATGTTCTTAATGTAAGGGATACCGCTCATTACTCATTAGCAGCTCGTTAGTGCGATTCCTGCATGGTGTGTAACTATTTAGCGTTAAGAGTTCTTTTTTGCGACTTTAGCTATCCGTTTTTTTTATTGTACCTTATTGATACAATTAGACTTTTATTCGGTGTGACGAATTTTGCGTTTATAGTGTTAAAATTGATATTGGCTTCAGATTATATTTGTAGCTATGATATTAATTAATTTTTTGCAATTATTTGTAGTCTGTTTTCTATTTTATTGTTATTGTAAAATAATTAAATTTCTCGCATTATATGAGATTGTTTATTTTGAGGAATGAATGGCTATTTTCAATTGCAATATTTGTACCGATTGCTGTATAATTTAGCCAGCTTTATGATATATTTGTAAAAGTCTTGCTTGTATAGTGATATTCTATCGAGCAGAAAATTATATCTTTATATTAAGGTATATCTATAGATACATTTATTTAATTCAACTTTATCTTTGTAGGACTATTTCTTATTGGTTGCATTCACCCGTAATCCTAATCATGAACATGCTGTTGTTAATAATCCTGTGTCAAGTACTTTGTATACTTGTTTTTTTGCCAATTCTATTGATAAAATGGAGAAAATTTTACTCAAAGAAGCGCAACGAGAGACAGCAGACTGGAACAGTTGTCGGGATCTTTCATCCATACTGCAATGCAGGTGGAGGAGGCGAAAGAGTACTTTGGTTTGCAGTTCATGCTATACAGACCAAGTATGTGCCAAAGTGACGTTTTTTAAAGTTCCCATATTGAGGATGTTTGACATCAAAAACATGTGTGATCTATTCAAAGTTGAGATATATCTTTACATTGTTACTCACATCGCTATTGGATGCTTTTCATTTGATGACACATTAAAACAAGCATCCGTCTATGTTTGTTACTCAGTGAATGTCAAGAAAGATAGAATAATGTAGACTTGTGTCACCAGGAAAGCGCTCACTGTATTTCTTATCTTATGTTGAACATTTCCAGATATCCTGACGTACATATAGCTATATACACTGGTGATCTTGACGCAGATCCTGAAAAGATTCTCAGCAAAACTGAAAAGACATTCAATGTGAAATTACAATCAAATATCGAATTTGTCTATTTGCATGGGCGAAAATGGGTGGACGCTTCTACATATCCTTATTTCACACTTCTAGGACAAAGCCTGGGGTCCATCTACTTGGGTATTGAAGCGTTAAACAATCTTACACCAGGTGATTGTTTAACTCGTAACTAGATCCTGGGACATTTTCCTAATTTTTAAATAGTATAATGATTTGAAATAATTTCATGAGTTTCACAATTTTATTTTTTACAGTTTTGTTCCATTCATGTATTGTACTATATTTGTACTTAAGTTCAAATGTTGCAATTCTTAAAGAAAATAAAATTAGTAACAAGAAACTTCAATGAGCTTCACTCATATTTCTTTAATGTCGCAAAAAATGTATTTTTGTTATGGGTTAAATATATTTGTATTATTTTATAATTTCTATTGACAAAAAATAAAAATACAAATAAAACATAATTACACAATATTTGTACAAATTGCAGACATATACATTGACACGATGGGTTATGCGTTTACATATCCATTGTTTAAATACATCGGTGGTTGCCAAGTCGGATCATATACGCACTATCCCACTATTTCGTCTGATATGTTGAAGTATGTCTACAGGAGAGTTATCTCGCACAACAATGGAAGGATCATCGCCAAAAATCCGTTCCTTTCAGGATTGAAATTCCTTTACTATAAATTATTCGGATATGTAAGTATACAGTTACAAATCCGATTGATCGTTTTATGAGGAAAAAGTAGAGTCTTTTCAAGCAGTTATTTCACAATAGAACATTTCAGTTGTATGGATTGGTTGGTAGTTGCACCGACATTGTGATGGTAAATTCCTCATGGACTGAAGAGCATATCAATACTATTTGGAAATGTCCACTGAAGACGCATCGAGTGTATCCCCCGTGTAGTGTAGAGCATTTGACTGAATTATCGCTTCTCAGCGATGAGCAGAAGGATGGCTATATACGCTTAATTGCGATCGCGCAATTCAGGCCGGAGAAAAATCATCCACTTATGTTGAGAGCGATGTTCGAGCTAAGATCTATTCTTAAGGAGGAAATCTGGGAAAAAGTGAGTTGACGATTTATCTCAATAACCTCAATAAAGATGTATTCTAAACTTGATCGTGTTATTTAGGTCAAATTAGTCTGTATCGGTTCTTGTCGAGATGCCGAGGATGAAAAGCGCGTTAAGGATATGCAAGATTTGGCTAAATACTTGGCTTTAGAGAAGAACGTCGAGTTCAAGTTGAATATACCGTACTCCGAACTCGTGTCCGAACTGCAAAGAGGAACGATTGGTCTGCATACAATGTTCAATGAACATTTTGGTATTAGCATTGTGGAGTGCATGGCAGCAGGATTAATTATGGTGGCCCATGCTTCTGGTGGTCCGAGGTATATATTTGGCTTAGTATTCGTGATCACATTATCGAACGCGGCACAACTTTGTCGTGATCAGACAACAGGTTTGCTGTCGACAATCTTCCTCTCGGTAATCTTGAACAATATCTACAATGAGATTTTAAGCTTCAAGTAAAAAATTGACAAAAATCACAATCGGATGAGAAAAATAGTTGACTATGATATCTCATTGTTCGCTTTAATGCTGTAATGTTCAAATATTAATAACAAACCAGAATTGAGCGCCAACATATAAAAGACCACTCGTTTGCTAAAAAATTACTAATTGATTATAATTTCTATTTAATTAATTCAATAAAATTGCGATCACGAAAGCCATGGAATTGGCTCGTAAATTTTCTAATGAAAAGTTTTACTTTAAAAAATATTCTAATTTTAGGACAGATATCATAGAAACACGAAAGGGTAGTATAACTGGTTTTCTAGCAGAAGACGAAATAGAATATGCCAAAGTACTAGCGTCCATCATACAAATGCAACCAAAAGATCGAAATGTTATTAGAGTTGCGGCCAGGTACACAAATCAAGGATATATATTTTATAATTGTTCGATTTATGAAATAACAATTCTTTTATATATACCGATTTTTCGTTTTTTTTTGTTTAGATCATCTGTAACTCGTTTCTCATGCCAAGTCTTTGAGAAGGAATTCCTACGGGCAGTCGAACCGTTTTTCAGATCGAAACAAGAATAGTATTGTTGTGTTACAATTCTTTTAAAATAATAAATAACGGACATATGTGTGTGTAAATAGCTCATTTCAAAATCAGAATGCACTTTCAGTACTTGTTACATTATTTTATATGTATAGTAAGGTGTGTGTATATATATATATATATATATAACAAAGAGTGTTTTTTATGTGAGACAAATTTGTATTTGTTTAGAAATTTTTTGCTTGATTTGCATTAATTTTAAGATACAGTACATTAAACAAATAATCATGATTTAGAACATAGAAAACCATATCACATTGTATATATAATGATGCTTGTTAATAAACTGTATTATTTGAATGACTTCAACGTTCTTACTAAAAATTCTAGAAGTACCTTTGAAAGTTTATGAAAATATGTGTGAGTGTGAATGTTAATGTCAATGTTACAATTTACTTATTATAATAACAATACAAAAGCCAATTGATCGATATAATACTTATGTCAAACACATGCGCAACGATAAATATAAAATGTCATATATTTATTGTTTAACTAGATTATCGTTAATTAACCCACATCCCTGACACTCCAAGATGTAAGACGAAGTGTCCCCGTCCTCGGCACTTTTTGATAAATTGAAGCGAAGTCCGCGTTTACCCAACATTATCTCTGTAACCTGCATAGCGGTTTCCGTATGACAAGTGAGTTTCTTGTTTCCAACTTTGATTTGCGAAGTACCTTTTGCCAGTGCCATTAAAATTATCATCTGTAATAAATAACGCATTAATTTGATTAATTCGAAAGTTAATTTAAGGTATTCCTTCAAACTAGCTACGCGCTTACCTGATCCTGCGTATGTTCGTCAATACACGCCCCTGTCAGGAGCGGCTTTAAAATCTCATTAGCTGCTGTTTCACCTGCTGGCGGTTCCTCTTGGCGTCCAGAACCTAATCCGGAGCCGCCGAGAACGCATCCCGTGCTGGTGTTACACACTATACTAATAATCATTTATATTTACATTTTTGTCAATTTTTTACCTGTATTTAATGATAAGAGGCCTGTTCTTTTTAACTGAACTTTTTGCGGTTCATCTTTTCTTTCTTTCTTTTTACATTGGGCAAAAAAAGTAAAGATGAATAGTTCAGCAAAAAATTTAGCTAAAAAACAGATCTTATAATTAGAAAAGAAAATTTTAATGTAGTTCTTACTTAATACCAGAGCCGTTTCCAACAGCCATTGCTCTGTCTTCTCTGTAAGCTTCAATCGTAATTGGTGGTACTCGAATATTGCTTTTCACTAATTTATTTGTTAAAATTGCTTTGGCATCGCTGGCCATTGTATGCGCCTCCTAAGAATCATGTAATATAATTAATTCAAAATATACTAGAAGAATTCGTAGATTCAATCGAAGTGATACATACATTTATATGAACTGATCCAGCCACATAAGACCATCCTGTTATTCCTCGAGGATTTCCCAGATCGATTAAAGTAATCGCGTTTAAGCTACTGATCGGTTTTATGCGTAAATGCACCTCGCCTCCTCCCTTTGGATAATATCCCCTCCATTTGTCATTAATTTTAGTATAAATAGAATATAGTCGTAAATTTAAAATCAGATACAATAAATTGAGTGTATATACCTCTTCACAACTACGAACTCAAAGTCTGCTCCAAATTTGTTCAACAGTGGTTTGAACACTTCTGTTAGATATTCTATGTGCGGTCCCATGGGAACGTTTGTGCCACCCTTCAGGATGAGCGTAATAATATCGTTACACGGGAAGAAGAGGGCACACGGTAGTGCTACTTGCGCCAGTAAGCAAATACATCCAGCAGTTTTTGTGTCTGCTGTAAATGTTCTCTTGGCTTTGTTTAGTGGACCGGGACGAAATTCCAAATGTGTTGATCCTATGTATCCACCTCTAACTTGAGCATTACACATTTCCTTAGCAAGTTCCACACCTGTAACAACATAATTTGAGTTTTCTACCTCACGTAGTCGAATATAAAATATTGAATTCTATTTTTGAATTACCTTTCAAATGCTGTGCCGCAAGACCAGGCTTTGATCTTCCAGCGCGTATATTCTCAATTTCGATGGGGATGCCATAGAGCGTGCTCAAGCTGAGAGCAATTCGTAACACTTGTCCACCCTTCAAAAAAGAATTATGATTGTGTATATCGCACCTTTTTTAAGAGACAATAATTTATTTGTCAATTGCGAAAAGAGAGAAGAGAGAGAAAGAGTAAAAGATGTAGTTTAAAACGGTCAAAACATAGAAAAATGTGACATAAATTAAATACTATAAGAATATCTTAAAGAACATGTTGTAACATTAAAAGAATGAAAATTGTAGCTGTGTCATTGGCAGATGCAATACAGATACTATAAAAATATTTCAGAGAATAAGATATATTATAACATTAAACAAATCTAAAAAGATACATAAATAATAAAATAATTTGGAGCACTGCCCCTTTTTTCAAGATATACAATAAAACATGCGTATTATATTTAAAATATGTATAGTAAATGTGTTTAATTTTAAGGAAAATATGACGATGTTTTGAGAATCTTCTGTTTCATCTATACTTACACCCTCACCCAAACTGCCGTCTATTTGTACAAGGGACGACATGATGCGATTCTTGAATCTTGCAAGCACAATGATCGCGTCAAAGGAGATGTCTGCTCCCGGCGTTACGCCACGGCGCCGGTTCCGCGTTTATTTTCGGCCCACCGCGAATTTCTGGGGAAAACAAAGAATATGTATGTAAGCTACTGTAAGCGCTCGTTCAGGGAGATACTTACATCTAACTATAGAATGAATCCTGCTCATAAATGTAAAGCCTGCCGGGAAAGACAGTCCTTTTTGCGCCAGCAAACGTTATATGTATACGTAGAGATCTGACAGTCTTGTATTTGAAGTGTCCCTCTCGAGGCGAAAATAAAATCTGATAATCTCATTGTTCCGCGAAATTCCAAAAGAGGAGCGATTTTCACATTAAAAAAAAATAAACCTTTTTTATATATTCCAGAATTAGCGATGTATCGCGTTATTTACTTTTAGACTTATAGGCTTGGTGTTGACGTGTTGTCAACATTGGAAGTATTTGGAATGATCAGAATCACGGATAAATAAATACATTCTCTGTCGAACTAATGATTTTGACGTGCGAGTCCTTACAACAAGTGCAATAATAAATATAATAACGAAAGCATTGCGGATCCAAACTTGTTGGAGCAATTAACGCTGAGCAATGCTCCGAATCCGAATGTGGCGTGAAAACAACATGATATATGTTATCTACGGGGGATTCAGGAATGCGTCTATGTAGTTCAAGGTGGATGTTTCATGGACATAGGGGCAAACTGTACCTTTAAATTAGGACCTTGAAGCTGCCTTGAAGTTCATTGCCCTTTTTTTCTTCGAAGATATGAATGACACGATTAAATAGTAGTGACTGGATGATCTCACTCTTTCTCACTCTCCTTCTCTCTCTTTCTCTCTAGCTTCTTTTATTATAGCTTCTCTCTCCTTTTGTTTGTGTCTTCCCTCTCTCTTTCTCTGACTCCTCTCATTAACTTTCTCCTCTCTTTCTAACCTCTCTTTTTTTTCTCTTTCTATCTCTATTATCTCTTTTCCTCTCTCTCTTCTTTTCTCTGTGTCTCTGGCTTCTGGCGCGAGGAAGACGACAGTAGCGCCGTTTGACAAGCGCAACTAGTAACCGAACCAAAGTGAGTTCCGTCCGTACAGATTGGACCCTTCGCTCTTCTACTACGCGAAGTGTGACGAGGTTAAAACAGCTGTTCTGCTGGATGGTCGCGTTGACAGAGGACGACGATCAAGCGGATGAAAGATCTATCGGAAATCCAAGCACTTAAATGATATCGCGAATATTCCGTGGGGAAATCGAAAATATCGCGGTCAAACGCAAACGGCAAATCGACACTCTGAAAATCTTTAACGACAAGTAAGGGTGAATTCTCGTCATCGTTGTCGTCGTCGCAGGGGCTACTCCTCCCCTCCCACGTCGACATAACCTCTCTCGTTAACCTCACTTGAGCCGCATTATTACCGATATTATGCTCGGTGTCGCCCTGCAAATGGCTATCTATAACGCTAAAACTGGCTAAAACAATCGGATTACTCGCTTATTCTTGTAGCGCTGTGCTCTCTCGACACAATCGGAAATGGTCACGAGTTCCTTCCATGACAGTAGTGATCACCTCCAAGATTTTTTCTTGAAATGGTATTTGCGTCGTCATTGTCTCAGATTTCGCGCAAATAACGTCTTGAATGAATATTTGTGACGGGCATGTAAAACAACTGAGCTAATAACATTAAGATTAATGCTGGCTCAAGGTCACAGTTGATCTCATGGATTTTTAGTGGCCGCAAATGTCTGCAGGAAGTGTAATGCAATAAATGTCTTTTAGTGTGATAGAGCTCAGAGAAAATGTGGACTATCAGGTGGAATTTCAAGCTGGCGAAAGACGAATGGCTATTATGGTTTCTCTGTCGCAGAATTTTCCATTGGAGAAGCCAGTACTTAGAGTTTCCCCACCGATAAGCCATCCCTGGTGCAATGAGCATAGTGAAATTACCAGTGCACCAGGATTACTCAATGTTAGTGGAAAAATATATATATATAAAACTTATGATACCGAATTATGTAAACAATATAATTAAAGGACTATGAGCTAAGTTAAATTTTAATGTCAGTTAAGTAATTCAAACACTAAGTTATAAACAAGTCATAACAAATGAAGTGTTGCAGAAAAAATAATATAAAATATGACAAGCTTATTGCTTATATGACTCATATCACTTTTTTGTAACACTTCCACCATTTATTATGACTTTGTAACTTAGCATTTGTAACTATTTGTAGTTATGATCTATTTTTTTTAAACTAAACTTTTTATATGATTTGTCTTTTCTCTTAATATTGAAGAGAAAAGAATTATGTATAAGAAGTTCAGCTAAAAAAACACACCTTTAATATTGGGTACTCAACTAATATTTCAAAATTTAGTTTGGCTTCCAATCCTTTAATTTGATTGTTTGAATTTTAATCCGATGGACTTTTGTTTTAAGTAAATTTAATTTAAAAAAATATATTATATACATATTATTCTTTACACTTTATTTATATATTTTATTTCAATGCATTTTGTACATTGGAGATAATAAATCTTTTATTATTACATTAGTTTTCAGTACACAGTGATCTTGGTCGAGTTGTCCAAGTTATTATCAGAGAATTCAGCAAGAATCCGCCACAATTGTTAGAGGATATTTCACCTGGCTCTAGTAAACCTCATCTAGGTACATATTACTATTTTACCTCTTCTGTCATGCATCGATAGAATGAAATATTTCATGCAACAATTATTTTACTTATTTTATATCTATATTAAGTTTTAAAATCAAATGTGTTTATACATTTGACAAAATGTTTGTTATTTTTATTAACTTATTCTATCGTTGAGTGCATTTGACATGGTCTTTTGATTTTTCTTCTTTTTTATATAATTTTTTAAATTATCGTTCAAATTTTTATCTACTTATAACTATATTTTATACTTTATAATTTATATTGAATTAGCTGAAAAAATTCAATGAGTTGAAACTGTCTTATAAAAAAAAAACTTGTTTATTTTTATTTAATACTTTCTTTTATCTCGATTGTCTTGGCTCTTTTTCTTTCTTGTAATATCACTTTGCAAAAATTTTTGATGTGTGATTACAGATCTACAGGAAAGGAACTCGCCGTCTTACTCGCTTCAGCAGTATCCTGTCGAAATTCCGTCGACGTCATTCAATTCGTATTATAAGACGCAGTTTCCACATCTATCGTCCTCTAATGCAAATACGTGCATTTATAATTATAACTATACGAATTCTGGTCATACGTATGTCTCGACTTCGAAATCGTTTGGTGGTACGTCGCATCACTCACCCTATCATCCGAATTCGAGAAACAGTGCGCTTCAAAATTCTACGTCCGCGCGATATACCTCGGATCAGCATAGCACTCCTTACTTGAATTCGCATTATGCGAACGCGAACTATCAGCAACCATTGCCGAATCAATCGCAGACGAAAACGCCGCATAGCATAATATTTCCCGAATTAAACAATTTAACTAACGAGGAATTAAAGAGGCTCAGCGAAGATGACGACAAGCTGGACGATTTTCTGGAAAAACATTCCCAAATTAAAGATATAAATGCAGCGATTGAAGATGCTATGGATTGGGTTGAAAAAACTGCAGGTAAGGATAGAAATATAAATATCTTTACTATTGAAATGTGAAAATTGCAGAAAAAGCATTCAGTTTATTTCCATTAATCCTATTTAAATCTTATCTTGCGAACTAAATTTTTCTCTCCATCATCTTGTTGAGATAGAGAGAAAACAAAAAGAATAGATGCTAGAATTTAGCTTAGTTACTGGTTGATCTAACATCTATCCTTTTACTATCTATCTCATTCAATGACACAATAGAGAATATTTAGCTCGCAAACTAAGGTTTGGACAGACCTGCAGTTTAATATGTATCTATTTAACGTTCTCTCTCACTTAATTGCTTATTAATAAACGTATTTCTTCTCGTAGAAACTAATGCAGCCAAAGAACCCGAACTGAAGCAGCTGCAAGTTGATGTAGCAGATAAAGTGAAAACGGTGGCAGCATTGAAAGCCAGATACGACAATCTTATACAACGATACAACAAATTATCCGAGGTTTTTACGCCGGATCACATAAAAGAATGTTTGAGGCAGGCAGCGGACGAGAGCCACGAAGAGAGTGAGCAGATTGCCGAAGATTTTCTCAACCGGAAGATCGATGTCGAGCGTTTTCTCAGCACATACATAGAGTGCCGGAAGCTGGGTCAAGCTAGACGAACCAAGGAAGAAAAACTAGCGCATCAGTTGAATGAATTGAAACGAGCTGGTTTCTGAAATGAATATAATATATATAACCATTTTTTTCTATGAAGCGAACAAAAACTGTAAATAAGACTTAGTTAAATTAAACGTTGTGAATTTAAATGTATAGCGTTCGATTACCAGGTATCTGAAGTGGCTAGAAGATTCGATAGATTTGGTGGAAACGTATTTTGCATAAACATGTTACGTTTAAATCGCTTTTTACTTACGCTGCATTCTAAATTATTTTGAACCGCATTCTAGAATTGACGGATATGTACATACGCATACACACAAGTGGCGCTAAACGTATGAAGTGGTTAAAAACTGAGAGTGCTTTAAGATTAACTTTTGAAATACATTGTAATCCGAACAATTTAATGAGATAAAAAAGCAGTATAAGTGAATGATTAAAAGAATTAAAACCGCGTTAAAACCCGTATAACAAGTTTAATTGAATTCAATGAGTACTTATTCCATAGTGAAAATAACAATGGCTTTAATTATATTAGTTTTGCACAAGTTTTGACATGTGTATTGTCACAATTAATTCTGACACAGAGGTACGTTTTTTACTCTGTAAATAATGTGCAGGGAGGGGAGGGGGAGAGAGAGAGAGAGAGAGATGTAATTAAAATCGATTTTGGAAAATTTGCTATTCTCGGTTACTTTTAATTATTTATCCTATTAATTTCCTAATATTGTAACATATTGAAAAATTATATAGATATACGATAGAAAATGAAAAACAAAAATGTTGAACTTGAAGAGATTTAAAACCCTTTTTCCTTCGGCTAAAAAAGAACAGCAGGAAAAAATTAATATGGTTAATATGATACTCGTCATATTTAGTAACATTTATTACTATAAATTTTATTATGTATACTGAAAGAACTGGTCAATCAGATGTCAATGAATATTGCACAATATACACATTCCAGTTTTATCATCTCTCGTCATAAATTAGCAATATTGCTAACTATGAAAAACACGATTAGGCGTGCATTTTCGAAGTATAAAAATAATACGTTGGTTTTATATATAAGCAGCTTTCACACGTCTGTTAAATACACTATTCAGTCCATCAGTGGCAAATTGACGTTTCCAGTCGACAACAATAATGAACACGCTCCTGTAAAAATTACGATTCTTTTTGATACCGCGCGCTAGCTTTCTCTTCTTTTGATACTCTTCGTTCTTGATACAGTGGCAGTATATTTTTTATACAGCGATAGTTTACAGATTCTTAGTAGGATTCTATCACGGATCTACGAAAGAGATCATGATGTAACGTGTGCCAGCAGTCACTCGCAATCCCTCATGATAGTGTGTCAGTCTTCCAGGATGCATCAGCATCCAACCTGGCTTCGTATCGGTGACTGAACAATTGTATCGGATGAACCTGCATCCACCGCCTTCATAATCCACTTCCGCTTGATTTAGGGCAATGTTGATGGTGTAGGTTGAGGAATCATGATGCGGCCTCAGAGATGGTTGCTCGTCTGGGCGATATCTCACAACGAAATTCATGAGGGACCGTGGTGGCTGCAGATATAAGATTAGTATAACATATGATTCGAAGTAAAAATAATTTACAGCAACTTTGAATGATAATTTTCCAAGCACAGAACAAAACATCATGACATCAAAATGGCGTCAAAATAATAATTAAAAATAAATTTTAGATCAGTCACGATTTATTTTAACAATACCATATAATAATAATAATAAATATTTAAATATAAATTTTTAATTTATTTTAACGTTATTTTGATGTTATTATGACCAGTTGTTCTGCTTAGGTTCCCAAATAATATGCAATGTCACAGTGACGTAAATTCGACATAAAATTTAGTGAAATTTTCGTCAAATCTCAATCAGTCAAGATATCAATCGAGTGTTACTTGGGGGTCACAAGTTATTATTATTTCTTAATTCAAGAATCTACATACATACAATGCAAAGATCCTAATCACTTGCTACGAAGCGGTACAATCTAGCTAGTTAAACCGTGTGCGTTTAGCGAGTACATGTATCATTGTAAGATCTATGTGCATTATAAGATCCCTTCCATATACCCAAATTTCAGAATCTTACGTAGTCGTCATATCCTGTAAAGACATGTTCTTGCAAGGGATTGACATAATCTTTTAAAAACTTTAACCAGGCGTCTTGAAGATCGACTTGATTCATATGAATATCACGAGTTGGTACCGCTTCGTATCCGGATTCCAGTCGAGGATCCTAGAAAGACCAGTGAATATAAGTGAATCTTACATCGTGAAAGTAGCCGGTGAAGACGAGTTCCTGCAACGGCCTAACATATTCTTTCAAGAAATACAACCATTGTTGTTCGTACTGAACTTGATTCATATGAATGTCGCGGGTTGGCACGTTTTCGTAACCACCCGACAATCGTGGATCCTGCCAAGAAAGTAAATCGCATAGAATTCTAATAACGTTACTAAGCTAATTGCCAATAAAGGACTCATAGGGAGTAACTCTCTCAACTTACGTGATTAGTTCCATCTGACCATAGTCCGAAAGTCTCAACGATTCCTACGAGCTCCTTAGTAAACCTGAGATTAACAATGGGAAACCAATAGACGTCCGGGCATGGCTGCAAAAAATCAAATTGAACAGAGAGTAGTAGAAGTGATAATTCGAGAAATTTTTCATGACTAATCATCTTTACCTGTATTGGCTTTTTATCGGGATTAAAGTTCTCACTGTAATTTGGATGAATGTATCTTTTTTCCCAGTCCAGTTTATTTTCTATGATTTGGTATATGTCTGGATAAATGAGTCGGGTGTCATAGGTGTCAGGATCAACGAGATGACCGAACTCAAGCCGATTATTGACGTACATAAACAGACCCCGCTGTCGATTTCCATGGGCGAATGCCATCTCCGTGTCCAGGTCGCCAGCCTCGTAGATTGGTCGGGTCGCCTTGTTTGCTATGATCGTCGCGTTGATCAAGTAGCAGTTACTGACAAACGGCACGTTCCACAGTCCCCTGAAACGGGCATCAATGTGATTCGGTGAATTGCATGTCAGAGGAGCGCTTCGGAGAAGGCGTGCAACGAGCGCAACTAGCAGAGAGCACTTGTTTGCCTCACGGTCAGGCACGATTGTATTTGTTTTCCGGAGGTCGTCGCTTAAGTGTTTTGTAAGGTGATCGCAGTGGTAGCCGCGATTGGCCGTTGAACATACTTGGCAATGAGTTATGCATAATTATCCAATTGAGATTCATAACTCTGTACATCAGCGTGTGACTGCGCGCGTCGACTCGTGGTTTCATTCGTATTTTAGGTGGTAGGACCTAGCGGTCTCCGTAATACGCTCGTGCCAGAGATCAGCCAAGTTCTCCGTATCTTCCCGGTAAGAATAGCGAAAAGCTCTTTATGCACGTTGATGAATTGCGTTGCGTTGCGATTACATTGTAAATTGGCACGTTATTGCCTGCAAAATGCGATCCATTGATTTCATCATCGAATTTCTCACGGCCGCGAATCGATATAGCATTATAATGTAATATATATATATACATATAAAAAAAGTAGTGGGTAATACTATATAATAGTGATAAATGAGTTCGCGAGGTATATAAAGTGTTCGTGACAAGGCCCGCGTACGTTGTTGGTCACTCTTCAATCGTCCAAGTTTCTCTGGTTCACTCTGGTTATAGACCAAATGACGAGATGTCGGCTGCTCTATTTGCTTCTATTAGCGGCCCTAATGATAAGCACAGAAGCGGCAAAGGGCGGCGGTGGTAGAGGGAGAAGCCGCGGTCGAGGAAGACTATCCGGCATGCGAGCGCACATCCTAATACCCAATCGAAATCCTGCGAGTACGCACTATTACGAGAACAAGGATGTGAGTCGATGATGAATGTGTATCTTGTGTATCTGTGCCGCGACCTAGTGATACCATTTCCCGGGTTTTTCGCAGGGTGCCAAGATCGTAAAGGCGTCCCACTTCGAGTTGGATTACATGCTGGGTAGAAAGATCACGTTCTTCTGTATGGCAATCGGTGTCCCAAGACCGGAGATCACCTGGCTGAAGGATGGAATCGAGCTATATCATCATAAATTTTTCCAGGTAAGCTAATCCACAATTGGGAACTGGTCTTTCCTAAAAAAAGTCCACTGTTAAAGATGGAAAATTGGTTTCTCGGATAATGGCGAGAATCGAGGGATCGTTTAAATTGTCAGGTGCACGAGTGGCCTGTTGGTAATAACACGATAAAGTCGAAAATGGAGATCGACCCTGCGACACAGAAGGACGCCGGATATTACGAGTGTCAAGCGGACAATCAGTACGCCGTCGATCGCAGAGGCTTCAGAACGGACTACGTCATGATCTCGTATTGAACGTCTTCCCTGATGGGTAGCTCCACGATCACCATAGTATTAGAACGAATAATATCCTGTGTGAAAATAGATATAGATAGTTTGTTATTGATTTGTTACATGATAGATTTTTATTTGATAAGTAGTTTATGTACTTGATAAAGCTCTGATCCAAATTAATGAGGGAGACAGCTCAGTAAACATCATCTAACAGTAATAACATCAATTTCACACACAATAATATAAATATAACGTATTTGTTACACAACAGTTACATTGTTGAGTTAAAAATTTTAACACTAATGTTATATATTATTGTTAGTTGTTTTCTCTTTACCCTCCCTAGAAAGAGGTCGTGATCTTTAAGAAATTAATTCAGCTTTCTACGTGCCGTCAGCGACATAAAAATTAAGGTCATAACAATTTGTCTTTTTTCTTCTGATGCGAGCAAAATAGACCTCTTTGGACCATCAACGGACGTGCGAAGGTACGGAAACAAATCTGATGGTTCCCCCCCCAATTCGTTAAAGCATAATTGACTGTTATAAGGGGATATGTGACGCGAGGAATATATCGAAAATGGTCCATCACTGCGAATTTAACAAGGCAATTGCAACGCGCGACAGTGGCATGGAAGGGCGTACTTTTCTCGCTGCGTCGCCACCAATGATCGCGACAATCTGTAGCACAGTGTAAAATAAACAATCTGCATGAATATTGTACGAACGCTGTATAAAATAATTATAGTTATTTCTCCTCTATACAGTTTCCGTTTCCCAGCTTTAATTTTTCAATTTAAATACGCGTAATGTATTATTGCAAATTTTAATTAAGAAGCGTCGCAGGTAACTAATTTAAAAGTCATTTGCAATTGTACCGGAAATCTGAGCCATCCGGAAGGAATAGACAAATGGTTAAATTAATGGATAAGCGTTCTGATAGATTTGATAGGAATTGATGGCGATCATGAAGTGCAAAGGAATAACCACCGTACATATAGCCCGACATACATTATCTGCATATAAGTCTGTAATAGATACGAGAGGACACTAGGGGAGTAATGAATAGGTGACTGTCAGTTACATCGGAGTTCCGTGTGATCTACGAACGCTGCAACGTACAGTGAGTATCCTCAGTCAATCTCCGCTCTGATAAATAACATCAAGTGACAATTTCAGCATTTACCGCGCGTTTCTATATAATCTCATAATAACACTTTGATCTCGATTCATGTTAATTGCGGATCATTTCGATTCAAAATCAAGTGGAACGAGCGACACAAATTTGCCAGTTTGAAAAATCGTGTAAGATATTATGTGTAATGTTCCATTCTAATCCACTTTTATTAGATTATCATGTCACGCTCTATGCTGTTGCTAATCTTGCTGGGTGTATTATTGCTCAATTGTCAAGAGACACTTGGTAGAAGAGGACGAGGAAGGAGCAGGAGCAAGTCCCGTGTGCAAATTGGATTGCCCATTACCGGAAAGTACCGCGATCCGGAGAGCGATCAGTACTACAACAATAATAACGTAAGTAGAAAAAGAGATTGCTCGAGAGGAATGTTTTCGTTTTCGCACTACTCCAGCGCGTATCAGAGAAAAACACAGTGATAACAACTGTATAAATGACAATTATACAATATATTTTATATTGTATAGAATTAATATACACAGTTAAATAAATTGTTTTATAGTTATAATAATTATAAAATAGTTTATTCAACTATGTATATTAATTTTCATATAAAATTTAAATAAATTGTCATTTATATGATTACTATCATTGTCTTTTTTTCCGAGTGTAATGAGAAAAAGATCAATGTCCCAATTTAATCTCTTTTGTTACCGGTGCATATTAATTTTTTTAGGGAGCCAAAATACTTCTGGCGTCGCATTTTGATCTAGAGTACGTCTTGGGACACAAAATAGCTTTCCTCTGCGTCGCTCGTGGCAATCCACGCCCGCATGTTACGTGGTTTAAGGATGGCGCCGAGATTTATACACATCACTATCTACATGTCAGTGAATATATGCATTTTCAATCTAAAAGGCCACAATGCAAAAATTATTAATTGCGGAACTGCCAAGAACAGTCAATTGAGTTGCATCTATAATCTATAATAGCGGATTGATATTTAATCATTACCAACAGTATTTCATTATTTGCAGATACACGAATGGCAAGTCGGTCCTGACAAAGTGAAATCGAAACTAGAGATCGATCCCGCTACTCAAATGGACGCGGGGGTCTATGAGTGCACGGCGGATAATATGTACAGCATCGATCGAAGATCTTTCAAGACTGACTTCTCCATCGCTTTCGATTAGTGTGAGCGTACAGGAAATCGCAAACAAACACGTACAATTAGATAAAAAAACATATAAAGCCCAGGTAACACGTAAACTTTTTACGATAGACCCGAAGAAAACGATTTAGAACATTGTACGACTCGCAAAAGGAGACGAAAATTGTCTGAATCCGGAATGCGAGAATTGTTCATAATCCTATCGAAACGCAGCGTTAAAATCGGCGTCTATCTAGAATAATAATAATCAACGCTTCCTTTTCTTCAAGCGTACATATTGTAGTTCAAGCGAAAAATATAGCGAATTGATATTTGTATGTTCCGCTTTACCTGCGTTCGTTTTTTATTATCTCCATGTAATCGAAGCTCCGCGCATAAAATCCATCGTCCGTTATGGCACCCCAGAAATTGCTCCACGCTTTAAATGGTCGTATGAGCAAAGGCGCGACGATTCCTCTCTGCTGCTCCACCAATAACTTCAACGTGTGCTCATTGTCCAGGTGCGCGACTGCGTCGATCGATAGATATCCAGAACACTCCTTCAACAAGCAATGCTCCCTGTGAAAAACAATTCGCTTTGTAGCATTCCTATAAATGTCACGTGTCCCTTCACTCTAGCGTTAAATAGTATATGCCTCGAGTTTTCAAATCGCAGACTTTTATGTATTATAGACCCTTAACAACGATTTTTAAAATAAAATCATGTCGCTACATTTAGTGTTGGATGAAAGTCATATAAAAGATCATATAAAATTTTATTATAAAGTATGCAACATGTTATAAGCATTTTTCAATATTTTTGTTAGAAATTAAAAATATCTTTTATTCATTTAGATTAAATTGCATATATATTCTTACTGTACACTGCATATTATTTATCAGTACAAATAACCAATACTAACTTCATATTTTACCGCGAATTTACTAGATGTTAGTGGTCTAGTATATAGAAGTCTATGCTTTAAATCATATTCACAGAGTTACAACCTTTGCTTACATTGCTAACTTTCTCGCGTCAACCTCACTGACATCGTCGCTCGGCAATATTCGCTTCGCGCTCAAGTATTCCTGGCCAATCTTCTCGAAGAAATCATCTATCACGTCTTCGTGATAGGAAACGTTGTTGTGAACAAACAAATGTAGCTTCGATTTCGGATAGTATTGGCGATAGATAGCTTGGAAAAATTCTTCCAGAAATGGCGTAGGACGCTCGATAAAAATGGCTATTAAAATAACCGGGTACGTTTTCGGTTTGGTCTTGTCGAGTTCGATGGTTTGGTCCCAGCATGCCAAACACCCCTCATCCGGCGTCCAAGCACGAGCCAGATAATTGCCTAAGGAATTTAAGACCAGCTTGCTGGGTCCATTGCCGTGAAGTACTAGGGGCACTGTGTTGTAAACGATATTTTGAAGATAAGCCTCTTCCCCCTTGAACCTGAGCTCCACGTCGGCTAAAAGACAATAATAATGATAACTATTATTATATTATTATTATTATTATTAACTATCTAGTCAACAAAATGTTAACAATTTGCTTACAAATTGCTGACAAATTTAATAAAAAATATTAACAAATTAGCATTAACAGTGTTTGCATTAAGTTTGTGTTTTACCAACAAAATTTACTGACATATGAGAGCAAATTGAAGGCAAACCTAGACACTTTCAAGAGAGTTTCTATACCAAGCAAAGCTTCGACTAGTTTTAGTTTTAACGGTTCTTGTAGTCAATTTATTGCAAGTTGTCAGCACAGTTTTTGCTGACAATTTATTGTCATATTACGTCAGCAGATTTTGCTCTAATGCTGACATTGAATAATATAATGGAGTTTGAATCAAATTTGGTCGATAAAATTTGTAGCAAGCATCTGACAAAATTTGTTTTTGATATACTTAATCGACTGAATAAAATACGATTACTGTATATCGATGCTCTTTCTTGCGGATTTCGCTTGCCCTTACCCACTGCACCATAGAGATTTTGGAATATCTCAGATTTATGATCTAGCTTGATCTTGTGCCGCAACCTGAGCTCATCTTGCAGGTATACGGTCGTGTAGAATAACTGATCATCGTCTTCGTCCTTAATGACAGCAGTTTCTAAGATTTTGTACACATCGGACGCATAACCGATGAAACCACCGGAATTTAAGTATCGTTTGCCCCTTGATACGGGCGGATACTGAGTCGCCAGGGATTTATCCGGCCAGCAATACGCCTCCGCGGAAAATAAGACTCGAGCGTCGGTATCCAGGAAACGCTCGACAATGGTGGATAGATCGCCAAGAAATATAACATCATAACTAAACGCAAGAAATATACACATTAAAGAATACATATCTTCTCTGTATAACAGTCTATATAGCATAGAACATTCTAACAGTAATGCAATAACTTTGCAACTCTTACAATATTACTGAAATGTTTCAATACTGCAATATTGCTCAAATATTCTATACTATAATATTAGGGAGGATATGCCTACCTATCAGTGAACAAAATAATCTTCTTTTCATCGTTCTGATAATCTTCCAAGGCTTTCCTGAGGAGATTAATTTTGTATCCACCGCCAGCATAACGCACAACGTTACCGCCTTTCCAAGGTTCGCCTAGACCAAGGACGTTTAATTTATCATGAAATCCATAAATCTCTGCCGATCTCAGGTACCTTCTGAAGCCATCCGTCTCGTTGGAAGCAACGGTAAATACCAGGACATCTAAAAAATATATATTATAATTAACTGTGAGATGAAGAAAAACTTGATAATCAAAAATACTCTTTTTAACAAAAAAAAATTATGCATAGGTCTATATGTTGGGATCGTTTTCTTAATAATAGTGATAGATATAGCTTCAACATATAACATCTTTGTCACAGATTTTGTTAAAAGGAACTGAAAAAGTCCTGTGACGTTTTGCTATATCTGTCAATGTTTCTGAAACAATGGCTTTTTGTTTGACCTGTGTGTAACTTCTTTTATGAAAAAGTATACAGCGTTCAGAAATTGTCATATCTTTACAAAAATGTTTTCTTTGTCTTGTTAAAGAGTCTAAATTGTCGAATTCGGGAATACAGAAAAGAAGATTATGCGGATTAACAAAGAATTGTTATACGAGCGATACTCAAGAATGAATCGTGTTTGTGGATTGGGGCAACGTTATATGGATTCCTTCATTGTTCACCCAGCTGGTGAACTCGTTTGCATGACGCCAAACTAGTGATGTCATATCGAGAAGTAGCGCCCACGAGAGCCGCAGCACATACGCTGGCTGCGTTGAGAGAGAACACGCGTCTCCAGCGCTTGTATTACTAAGCTGTCGATATACTTACGCAAGCAACACGAGATATTCTTAGAACGCGAAACCCATGGAGATTTGAGGAAAGACGCTTTAGAGCATTTTGTTTGAAGGCGATTAAAAGGAAAGAGCACCTATAAAATACAGCCTCCTTGGAATGGCTTACAAGAAAATCATAAAATAAAAAATGCGTATAATGTGTTAATAGCTGTCTCATCAGCAGTTCTGCAAAATAACTATTGTAATATTTTTAAATATATAATTGATATATATTACATTTAGATTTAATGAGGCATTAAAGGAAAGATTTAATCACATATTAAAAAATCTTACAATAGTTACAAAGTTACTTTTTCTGCTGAATGCTGTCAGTGTGTGATAAGATAAACTAATCTAATAGTTATATTATAATAGTTGAAACGCGCGAAGGATCAGCGTTAAGTTAACGAGTTATAAAACATCGTTAAATAAAAAAATTTCATAATTAGAGTATCTCTCGAGTCTCGCATTTGCTAGCGCGATGAGCAACACCGGAAATGTAATGATAAGAACCGGTCTGGTTGCATGCCAAAAGAACGGAGTCGAATTAATTAAATTAGTTCACGTTCCATAAACGAAACAATCGCGTCACGTATTCATTACATCATTTAATCCCCATTGAGAGAATTGAACAATAAATTATATTTCTACGAATCACATAGAAGCCGCATTTTGTTTTATTATAATAGACATCATTATGCTCATGCTATTACGATAAAACTAAACAGCAGCGTTTATAATCATTCAAGCAGCGATTAAAAAGCGATTACGCAACGAGATATATTCTACTTGAAATCATGTATCCCATAGATAGCCTTTGTGACTCCTTCACTGTTCTTCAACTCAACATTTATTTGCGAAAAATGTTTTCGATTAATCAGACGTACGACTATTATAAAGTTAAATACAATTTTAAATCCATTTTTAAAACTTTTGTATTTAAATATATTAAAAAATTTTTTCCATAACAAATAGAATAAACAATGTGTAAAATTTTTCAGAATTATGCAATTGTTAGCATTTTGTTGCTGCTGATGTTAATGAAGGTAACGAGCTGTGTAAACTGTAAAGCGTGTCTTGCGGATAAAATATTATTTCAGGCACGCGTTGCCTGGAGGAATAAGAAGAGCCGAAACTCGTCGCCAATTGAACTCCAGTCAACGAACGTTGACCATTTCTCCACTTTCCCTTCCAAATAATAAATAATTACATGTTACTCGAGTCATTTACTCTGTCATAAATTGACTTGCGACTTGCTTTCTTCAAAGGAAGATCGAAGAGATATGCTCGTGATTAAAAGGTGTAGAACTCTTCGAAAGAATTTTCATCTGAATTGATACGTAGGTGTTAGGAACACCGGTTTTAAAAGAATAAAAGAATAATAAAAAGAGAAGAGAGCTGTAGAAGAATCCGTTAAAGAATCCTTTGATATTGAAACTTCAATTATCTTTTCACTACAATTCTGATTTCGTACATTTCTGAAATATATATTATAAAACTTCATAACTATATATATTCTTTTTTCATTAATAATATATTAATGAAAAATCTATTCGATATATTAATAATACGTTGAAGAGAGCTGTGAAATAATTCTTCATTCATATTGTGCACGACTGTATGCAATTAATAGATCTGGCTCTCTCAATTGTATTTCAATCATTTCCTTTTTTAATTTGCCTTCAAAATATCTGAAGATACACTGTTGCATTTTAAGTGCAGAAAATTATACATGAATAATCCAGGAGCTTATAATGATTCACGTACATGCAACCATCTGAGGTTTATATTCAATCCAAATAAATACATCGAAATCTGTATCTATCCCTAGCTATCTACTTAACTGCCAACTTTTTAAACTTTTGTTATTTTTTGACAGCATCAGCTCGCCGTGGACGGTCTCATTGTTTCTCCTCTTTCTCTCTCTCTCTCTCTTTCTATATCGATC